ACCACAGAGATCCATGTGGAGCATGTGTAAAGGAGTGGAAATAGAAGAGCACATCTTGGACTTGAAACTTGCTTTGGTTTGCTTGCCTTTTTCACAAGCAACACACAACTTCAGTTTGGCATATGACATCTTCGAAAGTCCAATAACCAGATCTTTACTAGAAAGATTGTTGATGGTTTTGAAGTTGAGATGGGACAACCTTTTATGCCATAGCCAATTTTGATCAGCAGTAGCCTCAGAGTAGAAATAGATGTTGGCGTCAGAAGAGCTAGAAGAGTCCACGTTGATCACATAGACATTATCCTTTCGGACACCAGCTAATACCTTCTTGCTAGAAGAGTCAAGAATAGTACACTGGTTTTCTTCAAACTTCACAATGAAGTTGAGATCACATAGTTGACTGATGCTCAACAAATTATGCTTCAGTCCATCCATATAGGCTACTCGGTTGAAGGTAACCGAGCCGTTAGAAACAGCACCATATCCTTCAGTAGTACCTCTGGCATTATCTCCAAAGGTTACAGAAGGACCAGGTTCAGACACATAGTTGATCGATAGGGACTTGTTTCCAGTCATGTGTCTTGAACATCCACTGTCCAAGTACATATATGTCGGTGTCCTAAGCCCTGCAAACACAGATAAATTAGTTTTTAGGTACCCATTTTACAATGGGTCCATTAGGGTTAGGAGAATTTTCTTCTTTCCCTTCTCTTACTGGCCTAGAGATTCTTTCCTTGGGACAGTTCTTGGCCATATGAAAAGAGTCACCACAGTTATAAGATTTTCGATAAATAAACACAGGTTTAATAGCAATTAAAAGTGTGTGCTTAACTGTGTTAACATGCTTTTTGGACATTTTGAGAAAAGAAGAATCTTTGGAAGGAAGGACAGAGGAAGAAGAGGGTTKTGGACCAAGAATCCCTTTTTCAGACTCAGGGATAGGTTTCTTAGAAGAGGTAGGAACCTTGGAATTCTTTTTCAAGGAAACTGATCGAGGAACGAACTTAGTAATAGAAGGAACTGAGGTACCAGTCTGAGAAGCAACAGCTGACTGAGATGAGGTAGCCGAAGGCTTATGTTTCATCTTCAGTTTGGATTTTGGCTTCTTATTCTTGATAGGCTTGTCTATAGACTTGCCTTTCTCAGCAGTAGAGAAACGACGATTCAAAGGATGCTTTATATGCTCAAATGTTTTAGATTTAGGTGAGCATGCAACAGGGGATTCCTTAAGAGAAAGAGAGAGAGAGAGAGAGAGAGAGAGAGAGAGAGAGTTAAACACACAGTCTACAGGAACATTCTCAGATTCAGAGTTTGGATTGTTAGCATTGACAAAAATTCCGAACTTAAGAGATTTTCCATTTTCATTAGATCTTGGAGAAAGAGATCTAACAGAATCAGATAAGTAAGATGGAGAGGAGGAAGAAAGAATGTGAGAAATGCACATAAAGTCATCAGGAGCACACAGAACCATATCATCATAACCTAGGCCAGTCTTTACTTCGATAGGAAGTTGATCATGTAAAATTTTATCTAGGTTCTTGGATGATCTAGCCCATTTTTGAAGAATGGCTTTTTCTTTCTCCAGCTTCTCAAAGACCTTAGTTTTTTCTTTGTTAAGAACATTGTTTATTAACTTTTGTTCTTTAAATTCATTTTTCAATTTATCAAAGTCTTTCAGTTGATTCAAGCATTTATGTAACTGACAAGATAGACTTTTGATTTCAAGGTCAGCTTTCTTCTTAGCAGATCTAGCATTGTAAAGATCAACAGATAAAGAATCATAAGCTTGAACCTTTTCAGATTCAGAGAGAGAGGAGAAGTTGTTTACCTTCTTTGG